TATCTCATTTTGACAAAGAACCATAGACAGCCTATAAACACACTTGATTTTCAAACATGCTTTATGAATGTCACCTACTCACTGCTGAGCATCAAAGTGACAGATGAGGGCAATCACACTGAGATGAGGTTAAGAGCTATCACTAAAACAGTAATCTCAACCCAAATGCATACTGTGAATTTCAGGTGAGTTGAAGACACTTAGAACTAGAATGGATTCTGACAGCCAACCCCCTCAGTTCTTAAATCCCTTCTACAACAAAACTGTCAAGTTACCTGCCTAGAAAGTTAAGAAGTTACTGAGGAGTAGGCTGCAAACAGCAAGAATAACAAGCAGGAAAACTTGCAAGATCTCCTGAATGACAGGTTTCTTCCAGGAGACAGCTGCAGGACTTCAAGAGTTTTGTAAATTTAGACACAGCATCAGGAAGAGTAGCAACAACTGAGAGAATGTAACCTAGTTTTAAATTCCAGCTCCAGATCTACAGTCAAATTCCAATGGTCAGTCTTACAACCATAAGGGCCTTTTTCTGACCCTTTGATTTCTCGAGATTCCATAAACTGTAAGACTGACCCTTGAAAGCAGACCATAAGTCTGAGATACTCAGGAAGGGTGGGGAAGGAGGAGAGGGAGGGAGAAATAAAGAAGGAATGGGGAGAAGAGGAGAGCATGCTGGGGTGTAGTGGGGACTTGGACACTTTGGTAGTGGGAGAACTATGGTGACTGCACCTTAGGGGAGAAATCCTATATTGTGAAAAAATAAAAAGTATGTTTAAAAAATAAAAATAATTTAAAAATAAAAATAAAATATAATATTGTTTTCCATGAAATAAGGAAATAAATTCCAGCTCCACTCTTTAACTTAGCTGGGTGACCTAAACTCTCTAAACTCTACTTTCTTTATCTATTAGATGAGGTTATTGAGAGTCTAATGTCATAGTGTTTTGTGAGGATTAACAGGAATATGCTAATACTCCTTGTAAAACATTTAGTCCCATACCTGTCAAATAGGAAGTGTCCATTAAATGCTAGCTATTGTTATTATGTTTAATAGTAGAAATGACCCTGATCAAAGACAAACGTTCATTGAATATATGAGTCTTGAGCATAAACTGAACTCTTCATGTCACAATTGCAGATTTTTACTCTGTCAAATAGTTCTACCTTTGTACAAGTGAAACCATTGAGATTAACAGAAAGCTAGAAGTGACATATGGCTTCTAGAGTTCAAGAGAGTGTTCAGTGTTCCCAGATGAGCTGAAATGGAAATCTACCCTGTCTCCTCCCAGGATTCCCACAGGACCTCTGCAGACTGACAGTTACAGTAAAGAATTTTTTTTAAATCATCTACTTATCTGGGAAGAAGATGCATGTAAGAGACTAATAAGGCAGCCTACATGACTTGGGAAATATAAATCAAAGCTGGTATGTTTGTTTATGGCATTTGGAAACAGTGGTTTCAGTTGCTCTGGAGAAACACTTACTTTTAACCTACTTTTCCCACTCCAGATCTGCCCCTGCACATAAATCTATACAGTCTTATAAAATCTCAAATCTGAAAAGTATCTTAGAAAATTTCTGGTTGAGTTTCTTTATATTATAGATGAGGGAGCTGAGGCATGAAGCAATGAACCAGGTTGTCCATTTCATTTATTAGAAAGGAGGAAAGTGAAGCACATGAAGAATAATTTTAAACAAGGTACAGAAAGACTGTTTTACTAGTTATTAATATCTACTATCACTGACTCTTATTAGTGCTCTAACTACAAGATAAAACCTAATTCCTAACTATCAAGAGCAATTTAAAGACAAACTATACTGAAATGATGGCCACTTTGTTGACCATTAGTGACCAGATGTTAATTAAACATGTCCCTCAGGCTAATGCAGAGTTCATAATTCAAAACCTTTGGCAAAAGACCAATTAACATGCTAACACACCTTCTTACATTTTTAGCTGCTTTTCAATTAGTTACTATCTATAAACTGAGCCACTGAAAGGGAGTTTTTCTAAGTGATTAGCACCCTGGAAATCATAGGCTGATTGCTGATTAACATGCTTTGGTTTTGGCAATTAGCATTTTTCATTTTAGCAAATGGGTTCAGTTGGTAGCTTTGGGTCATGGAAACTCAAGCTTACTCAATGGCCATCACTATTTTGAGAAAATGTAATTATGACATAGAGATATGAGAACTTTATTCACTTGACAAAACATTTGTATCAGTTCTGAAATACTTTCTGGGGACAACTGCAGAGATTTGAATATAAATGTATATTGGTGATATTACTGAATTACTTTTGATTATTTTAGTTGTAACAATGGCATTATGTATGTAGGACAGATACTGAAGCATTTAGGTATTATGTCTGCAAATTAGAAATAACAATTTTGGCAAAATGTTGAAAATATTTTTACCATTATTAACAAAGATCAATACTACAAATATTCATTTCCAGAAAAAACTATATGTCTATAGTTTCAAAACACCATCTATAAGTGTACTAATATATATAATAAACAGTATTTGAATTAATTGCATTCCTTTCATTTGTAAATATTTTCTCTTTCCCCACATTGTTAAGAATTGGGGTTTAAAATTTAAAAAATTTTAAATTCCAAACATGTTTTAATGACTTCTACATCTTGGTAAAAATTATCTGTTGTACTGTAGAGATATTCAAAAGTGACTAAAACTATTTAAGATATTTAAGAGTCCCCATAATCAATATTCATATACTTGGTCATGTGCCCCACTTTTCAGCTGCCTCAGAAATCCCACTGATACAGATATAAATGCTTTTAAGATATCTACCCACTATCCAGCTTAGCCACTCATATCACCTCTTAAGTTTTTCCTTCAGATCACCTTCATTTTATTTGTTGTTAGTCACTCAAAATCAGACAACATTCTTGAAAATGTATTTTCATATATCCATAAACATAGTTAACTTTATAGTCTAATCTAAATTTCATTTTAAAATCATAATTAACTGGTTTCAACATAGTAGTTCAACTAATAGTAGCAGTGAATCTGCCGTGGAAAATTTAATGTAGATCATCAGTCAACCATGCAAATAAATTAAATCCCACAAATCCATAAAAACCCTAAGGAGTTACTATCAAATTTGTCAAGTTTTTGTATATTTTTTTCTGATGATGTTAAAGATGTAATCTTAAGCTAAAGACAACCACTGAATAATGATTAGAGTAGTAAACATTCATTGAGACACCAGAACAGCATGGCTGACATTTACACGCACAGTATAAATCCTGCTAATGCCTTGCTCTTGATAAGACAAGCACGAAGCTACATCAGCATGAAACAATGTTGGAGCTGTTTGAGAAACAGTCCATTTTTCATTTAATAGCAAATAAGCAGACTTCTTGGAGGAATAAATGTCAATAAATAAAATGTAAAATGTCACATTATATATTCACACACATATTTGATGACACTTTTTTCATTTATGCTTTCATGAAGAAAAATAAATTTCCAGTTTACAGGAAAAGATTGAGAGATACATTGTCCAATAATAAAGTATTAAATTTAACAATAATATATTTATAATTGCCTCCATAAAATCAGAAATGTAAATGTTTATCAAGGTTCAACTCCAAAACCTTCACTGTAACAAAAATCTTGATGTAAGTAATGTTGAAATCTGTAACACACACACACATACACTATTTGAACCTGACTAACATCTTCAGCTCATTTTAAATAGCATTGATGTGCCCAGAACCTTCCCCCAAATAGACTGGTTGACAGGGGAAGCAAAAATCTAGAATTCTAACACTATCATTGCAACACGTTAACTAAGTGAATACTAAAAAAGAAAAGTGGGCCCTTCCTTGTGGCACAGGCGGTTTAGCACAGCACTGTGAAGCAGTCTGCAGCCTCTGCAGCACGTGTTCAATCCCGGCTGGCTATCGACAATCCCACATGACGCAGCAAACCTCTCCTGTCTCACCCACTGCTCCCCTCAGCAGTTTATTTCAGTCAGTCTGCCTGTTCTGTCCCCATTCTGTCTCTGGTAAATCCTCTCACTCTCCGACATATCTGGCCTGTTCCCCGGTTCTTGTATACATGAATAAATAAATCTTTAAAGAAAAAAAGAAAAGTCTGGGAAGGTCCAAATTCAAATCATACCTGACCTAATAAAATAATGTTTGACTCAAATAAGAAAAATGTGATACATCTTTTTTCCTTTGACATTCATGCAAATCTACTTTTCTGAGAAAATTAAGACTTCTTTTAGCATAGGAAATGAGCTAGAAGGGATCAGGGTATTCAGGATGGAGAGAGAACTATATGGAAAAAAAACTAGAAATGGAGTACAAAAACTGGTGGAATCATGAAAATTTTGACTCAGTGATTTTTGACATTTAACCCCCTTTTTTTCCACAAAATGATTGCAAAGATTCATTTGTTGGATAGGATTTGTAACTCCTGATTTTTTGTAGATAGTTTCTTTTCCTTCTCCTTGCAGGCCTTCTTTAAAATAAAAGCAACCTTCAAGTTTAAGATAAAATTTGTCATATTAAATACTAATTTATTAGATGGTTATAAAATTGCAGTACCATCAACCCTAGCAATAATGAATCCCATGGTCTCTTGATTTCATAAGGAACCAGACATATCAGAAAAAAATGAAGAAACATAATCAAATGTCATTGTTAATGATATTCAATTATTCCACCTGTGACCTGAGCTATTATAGCTATCACCTTATAATTGCAACTCATCCTTTGGGAAAGCCAACTTCAAACATTATCATAGCTTAAAGGTCACTTGGAAAGTAAGCAATTATAACAAAATTTTATGATAGTTATGGAAATGAATTCATCTTTTATACCTGGTCCCAGATGATATTTGTTCTTTAAAGAATAAATCCTAGGATAGGAGTTAAATATACTGTATTAAGAGTGAGCTTTCTATCCCTCACACATTTTTCAAAAAAAAATTAAGAGCAAATTTTCCTTACTTAATTCTCTTTCCAAGCAACATTTTTTCTTCCCAAAACAGCAGCTGCCGTGTCACGGGACCCACTATGTATTTGTAGAAATGAAGTCAGCTTCCTTCTCCACTTCTTGCTCCACCAGCCATCACATCCTGTCCCCATGGACTTAGTGTTTTTGTGCTCTCAGCCCTTCTGTTCACCTCTAATAATAAGGGAGGAGAAAGAGCAGTGAGTAGAAAACAGTCCCTGTTCTTTGTCCACCTCAACAAAAGAAATTCCCTGGTCTTTTTGTATTAGCCTAAATCCAAGCTGGAAATTTAAAAAGAAACAAAGCTTTAAAATAAACTCTACTATTTAATCATCTATAGATCCATGTAAGAACTACCATTTGTTAAGAGCATTCTCTGTGCCAAGTACTGGGTTAGGCACTTCACACATATTTCATTAGGTCATCTGCTTCTTTCTTTCTCTTGGTTTGATTTTCACATACAAAAAAAAAAAATCCCTTAAAGTGGACTTACACTGAAGAATTGATAAGAGAAATATTAGGCTATAGTCCAATATTAAATATTAGGCACTAAGAATTCAAATGGGAGAAGCAGTAGAAATAATAGGAGCCAGACTCCCTGAGCTTTCTCTGGGTCCCAGATTAAGGCACAGAATAAAAAGAATAATAACTCTTGCCATGGTGATAAAGCTAAAGTCTAAAACAAATTGCCAGTCAGAGGAGGGAAAGCAACTGGTTTGGCAGTTAACAGATGGTGGGCTATGAAACCCATATAACAGAGGAGAGTAAACTAAAGTAGCTCTTGAATTTAACACTTATCATCCATTATTATAGAGAAATATTTATTTCATAAGGCTTAAAGACAAAGGAATTAAAAAAGTAAAGAACGATGATGAGGATAAAAGCAAAAAAGAAGAGGTGAGATGAAAAAAGGAAGTGGGAGCACATAGGAGGGGTCAGATTTGCTCTGAGTCCACCAAGCTATGACCAGCTGAAGTTTTTATCTGCTTCTTCCAACTAGCTTAATTGTTTTTCCCAACAGATCAACTGAATTTAGCAATTGTTTTATTACATGGATAATGAAAAAATGACTGTTAGATGAGATCAGAATTTGTTACCTCTGTTTTTAGAAAAGAAGCACTGGCACTGCTTTTTCTTAGTTTATTTTCTTTAAGAAAGTGTAAAGCTAATTATAGCAACTGGATACAGATAAAAATCAGAATATTGATGAAAAAGTATGTATACCCTTTTATGCATTCAAAATATAGGCAAACAATTCTATGTTGCTTATAAATTCATGTAAGTGTATATAAAAGTGTTCCGATACACTGGAGTCATACTGTTGCCTTCAAACATTAACTCGCTTATTAGACTATGTTTGTGTAGCAAATAATTATTCAAGTTTAGCAGTGAATACATTGCTGGAACTGGGGCTTGGAGAAGGAGGTAATTTATCATTCAAGTTGGTCCTCACACAATATTTACAGAGTTTATCAATAGATAAGCACTTTTCCTTTGTATGTTTTCTTATAAATATGTTTCACTATTATCTCTTCCTTTTTTTCCCATTTCATGTTCTTATTTTACCCCCGTCTATGAATAATCACAGAATTAGTTTCATCATAGGGCCTCCCCGGTGGCACAGCGGTTGAGCGCTGGGTTGCAAAGCTGCCCGCAGCCTCTGCAACTCCAGTTCAATCCCCCGCCACCAGGCGAGGGTCCCACATGGCGCGCAGACCTCTCCTGTGGCCCGCTGCTTCCCTCAGCAGTGTACTTTGTCAGTCTGCCTGTTCTGCTCTCCGCTATGGCTCTGGTGAATTCTCTCACCCTCCCTGCTTCTGACTGTACCCCAGTGCTTGTATAAATAAATAAATCTTTAAAAAAAGAAGAAAAGAAAAGAAAATGGTGTTAGCATAAATTCTTTATTAAAATAAGAATTAGTTTCATCATAGGATTAGGGAAAAATAAGCTGAGCTTTCAGGAAAAATGGTCTCTTTTTTTTAATCTCCCTTCCCACAGTTTAGCTAAGTCAGACAGACAGATATTACTCCATGTCAGGTGATATTAATTTTGCAATGAGTATCAGGTAACATTAATAGATGTTAGTTTATATACCACTTACCTATTTCTAATATCTATAACTAAAGTTCTTAATGTAAGCCTAATTAAAAGTCTCTTTATCAAACAGTTGTTGCATCAAATTTTACCTGATTATAAAATATCTGCAGAACATTCTTAGGCACAAATAGCAGTGAGGACATAGTGTTTGATACCCTTGATTGACCAGACTCTGACTAAACAAAAAAAAAGAAAGCAAATGTCAAATGTCAAATTTTGACAAATGTCAAAATTTTGTGTCTTAATATATTGGAATAAGGGTGAATTTCCAATTTCACTGGATAAATTAATCAAAACATGCAGATTCACCTGAGTGGTTACACATAGCCTGAATTCAGCACCCATTCTGTGATGGAGCAAAAGGCTGTGAATTTTTTAAACTGCTCTGCCATAGTGTCCTCACACGTCTCAGAGCACCTCTCATTGTCATCAGGATACATCAAAGAAAGTACAGTGACTCCATAAATGAGAATAGCCATTAATGTGAACTATTTCAGAGAACAATGCCTTGAAAAAAGAACCTTGAATTATACACAGCCTCACACTCAGTTCTACCCCTGGACCACAAGGGAAGATGGATATTCCTTGGTCAGACGAACAGTTTATGAGGTTTGGCACTATATAAAGAGACATCTTCGGGGTCTTGTACATGTGCATTGTAAAACCTTGAGATATTTTATGCTACAACATACATATTTAATGTGATAATAAAAAAGCTTATTTGTTCCCAAGTCTCCTTTACCCTTGCTTCTATAACCCAACAATTTCACGCTATTGGCTACATTTTCAAAACTTCCATTATTCACAGCTGCAAAGAGAACATGGCCAACTTCCACAGATATATAAATCAGATTTGAGCAGCAAATGACACATTCAGGATGAGTAATATATCCATGTGGAAGCACAAGTGGCTCATTGAAGAAACTTTGTATTTTTAAGGCCCCATGGATTACTTTGGTTGCAAAATTGTTTCTATGACAAACATTATCTTTATTCTTTTTTGCTTCCAAAAATAGTTAAACTACAAATCAAAAATTACTTTGTACACTAACCACAACATAGGAACTTGAACTTTATTAATAAAAGATATAAATAGTACTAAGCTACTAAAGCAAATTCATAAAATGTTTAAAAATCAGATCTTCACGTGAAAATTCACTTAAATGACAACAAATGGCAATTTATTGCACAGTAGGCTACTTAATGACTTGCAAGTTCATCTTCATATCTGTTACTTGCAGCAGAGTTAGTAGTCAGCAGAAACTACTGCTATAAATAATATTGGAGGATTAGTGAAGGAAGTTCTAAAGAAACGAGAGCCACTGATGAATTTTCTGGACCTGAAGATTGAAATGTAAGTACTGAATTGAATATTAAGCAACACATTGACAGTAAAAAAAAAAAACAAAACCTCACCCAAATGAATCTGTGCTTAATATTATCCCAAAGGTAGTCCAAAGTGTTATCTAAAAATAAGTTTTCCTAAGTTGCCATGTTATGTGAATCACTTAAGATATATTACATAATCAGAAAAGATAAGGGAGTCTGTGTTGTTTGCACTTTGGGGAAAAATGCTTCAAATATGGTTAGAGTAATTGGCTTAATCAAAACATTTATCCACTTTAGTCATCGGCCACCTCCATAACCCAAAAGATATGAGGATTTCAATCTAATTTGATAATTACTAGTCTAATCCACACAGCAAATCAAAATTTACAACTCAAACCCTTAGGCTAATTTTTACTATATTAATCATATAAAGATAGCAAATACAGTTCTAATTCATAAACTATGGAAAGCACAATTTTATTCTGCTATGTGTTCTTAATATAGTTCTTTTATTTACGAAAACAAATAAATTAACTTTTATTAATGTTCAGTTCACTTTCTAGAGAAAATTCTATCTAATTGGATGTCACAATTTTGCTGGAATTTATTCAGGTGAAATGTTACAAATTAATCTCACTTTTGCCATTTAATAGACAGGCATTAAATGATGTTACCAGAGTACAAGAACTTTTAAATTGAAAGAAAGAAATTAGTTATACTAATTACCCATTCGTGATAAACTTCAGGGGTTACTATCTTTTGTGGCCTGACATGATTGTTCACTGCAGGATGACAGAAATGGCTGCTTGCTTTAAAAATATCCTTTACTTGAAGCTCACCATCACTTCATTCCACTTACTGATGATTTCTATTTAACTGTATTTTTGTTTGTTTTACATTATAATCTGATAGCCAAAAGGCATTATAGGAAGTAACTTCTGTGATTTTTTCTCTTGTATCTTCTTTTTAATTGCAGTTGCTTAAGCAAGACTCCCAATGAAAGAAAAGGAAATTAATTTTGTTGTTCATAGGAAAATTCAACGGAAGAACAAGTTTTCACACATTTTGTAGGGCAGGGTGTATGGGAGAGACACAGGTCTCCTCAACTCATTAGTCATTTTCTTACCCTCACTCGTGAGCAAGCATTGTGGACAAGTCCAATGAATCACAGATATTTGTTTTGAAGGTTCTGATATAAGGTGACATTATTCCAAATGCCTTATAAATGCTTCTTGAGAAAGCAACAGTCCTGAAAAGACAATGCAGAGATAATGGAAAAATACATTCACTGTGAATCTCTTTTATAGATTCTGATCATGTACATATGTGTACAGTATATAGTTATTCAAGATTATTGTTTTGTGAATATGGAGGTGAGAATCATGCCCAATAAACTTAGGTACTTTGCTGCTGTTACAATGGTTTTTAAAATATGTATTTCAACACTTTAGGACTTCAGAAAATATTCCACTCTGCTAGATGTCCTGCTAGGTATTCATTCACTGACTCCACATGCAATTATTAAGTATATTTTCAGTATGGAAAGAGATAAGAATTTAATATGGAAAAGAATATGCAAGAAATTATCACAGCAATGTGATAAAGTCCACGTTAATTCTATGGGACTGCAGAAAAATAAGTCTTTAAATTTCAAGGAAGTGTTACATTTAAGCTGGTCTTTAAAGATAAGTAAAAGTTGCCAGGAAAGAAAAGAAGAGGGAAGTGCGAGGGATAGAGGAGAAAAAGAACATTTCACACAGGGAAAAAAATATTCTGAAGGTACAGCAACAAGAAGAAAATATGTCACCAACTTCCTGGAAGAACTTTGGTGATTGGGTTGACTGGAGCAAAAGGGAATAGCACATTTTCACTATACTGATAACTTTTAGTGAAGAGAGCAGATTGGCCATCTCTCCCTGATTCTTTATTTTAAAATAACATGGGAACTACTGCTGAGAAGAAATAATTTAAGAAAATTTCCTAGAAATGGAGAAAGAACTGAGACTGTAGATCAAAAAGAGCACACCGCATTCCAGGAAATTTTGAAACAAAGCACTTAACTTTTAACCTAGTCTGATTAAGCTTTGAATTTCCAATGCAAAATCTTCAGAATTCATCAAATAATAAAGGATGTGGATCATCTTCACAGGGAAAAAAATGCCAGATTGTTGCTGGAACATTAAGTGACAGAAGATAAGAAGCACCATGTATAATTTCAATAAGAAAGTATAACCCCAACATGTAACACAAATAATACAGTAATCATGAGCACTTCCTTAAAAATTTGCCTGTGAAATTCAACTAATTAGGAGATGGATAGATAAAAAATATCTTCATAATAAAGAAGCTGTACATAATGAAAAGACTGATTCTGATATTGAATCAACTCAAATATAAAACTAATCCTAAATAACTGTGGAAAGTGTATTGATTCCACGCTCAAGCAATATAAGTAACAAAATTCAGGAGAGGAGTGGCAGAAATTATTACAGCGCTAATTTTTTCATCTTCCAAAGCATAAAATCAAAATATAAAGTTTTTAAAATTAATTCCATTCTCATCACTCTTTGAAAATTCTTTTTTTCATCCTTAGAGAGATTATTTAAGAAATATGTGTTAAAGAAATACGTATCTTTGAACTGCAACAATTGATTTCACACAGTTATTTTTCCACCTTTAAATTCAAGCAAAATTAACAAAGTGCCACTCATTTGAAATTATCATCAATCATATAGCTCCATTTTTAAAAAGGTACTTTACTTTTCTCTCTTTTATCCTTCCATTTTTCTTCATGGAAGATATGTAGACTAATGTTTACTAATTGGAAATGTCATGGAGATGTGATTTAGGTTTCGTTTCTTTCCAGAATTGATTTTCATAATGCATTGTTTATCACTTTTACAAAAATTAAAATTAATGCCAAGATATTAGCAGTGGTTAATTCTGAGTATATTTCATTTAAAAACAAATCTTTAGGGCCTCCCCGGTGGCGCAGTGGTTGAGCTCTGGGTTGCAAAGCTGCCCGCGGCCTCTGCAGCGCTGGTTCAATCCCCGGCTGCTCCCTGGCCACCAGAGGAGGGTCCCACATGGCGCACAGAACTCTCCTGCCGCCTGCTGCTCCCCTCAGCAGTGTACTTCGGTCCTTCTGCCTGCTCTGCTCCCCACTCTGGCTCTGGTGAATTCTCTCACCCTCCCGCGCTTCTGACTGTACCCAGTGCATGTATAAACAAAACAAACAAACAAACAAACAAACAAATAAATAAATAAAAACATAAAAAAATAAAATTAAAATTTAAAAAAATCTTTATTGCATAGCTGTGTGTAGTAAGTACTGTCCCAGGTGCTGAACACAGCAGCAGCAAAGAGAAGAAAGTCCATAGTTTCTTTGAAGGTGAGAACAGACAAAAAATACATTGAAAGTAAATGTACTATTTCAGAAAGTGATAAGATGGACTATGAAGAAAAAAATGTCAGACTACGATGATGATACAGCCCAGTTTGCCAGGACCAGTCTTAGTTTATGATTTTTGTTCCAACTTCCTATCTGATTGGGGATCCTCTCCACTCTCAAAAGTATTCAGATTTGGATGACAAATTACATGTTTACCCCAGGTAATGGTGATATGAAATATTTTTGGGTGGGAGTCAGAAAAGATAGCCAAATAAGTATTTATGAAAAGGTAACATTTGAGCAGAGACTTAAAGGTAGGGAGGCAGAAGTCATGGAGACATCTAAGGAAAGAAATATTCTAGGGAAAAAAACAGCAACAAGGACAAAGGCTTTAAAGCATGTCATGGTTGGCCTTTTCCAAAATTATGAAGAAAGTCCAGAGAGTGGAGATAGGAGGTAGGAGGCCAGAGCATTTAGGAAAGGAGTTTAGAGAGTGCAGGAGAACCATCAATGGCCCTGTAGGTCATTGCATGTCATTTAACTAAATGAGGTAAGAAACTAAGAGATTTTTTACCAAGCAATGATTTGAACTGATTTAAAATTTTAAAAATTCTGACTTCTATGCAAAGTCTAGACTATAGAGAAGTAGGAATAGGAATAGAGTGCATAAGAAGAATACTCGTATAATCCAGGTGATAGGTGATAAGATCAGGGTGATAGTGGTGGATGTGATAAGAATGGTAACAAGATAGGATGGATGATTGTTATCTTTCTTCCTTGTACTTTCTTGTGTTTTGTAATTTAACAAAACATTTTTAAATAAATAACGTATGGGGGCAATCTAACAAAATAATGGCCATATGAAGGAAATGAAAGATGGACAGTCCTTTAAAATGATTCTAAGTTTTTCACTTGATCAGCAAGTATCATGCCGCCATTAAACAAAATAGATAATAGTTATCAACCCTTGGGTATTAGATCATTGAATCAAGTGCCAATGAAATAGAACTAACCAGGCAATGCTTAAATACATATGGATTTAAGAAAGCTATATGGGCCTGGTACAGAGTTTGGAAATTTTCAACACAAAAGTTATCACTTAAGAGCCTCCCTGGTGGTCTAGGGGTTAAGTCTCAGTGCTATCACCACTAAAGGCTGAGTTCTATCCCAGCCAGGGAGCAAACCCACATATCGTGCAGTAGACCCCTCCTGTCTCACCCACTGCTCTCCTTAGCAATGTATTCTAATAAGCCAAACTGTTCTGCCCTCTGCTTTCTCTCTCATGAGTCCTCTTAACCCCCACACCTCTAGCCTACACTCTAGACCTAATACATAAATTTTTTTAAAAAGTTATAATTTAAGCCAGGGGGGCGGAGCAACATGGCGGCGAGGAGACGCTGCGAGTAAGATCTCCCATTAAAAAAAGTTAATAGGGAGGAAAAGCGGCAGGTCCCAGTGAGAACCGGGACACGGAAGATAAACGGGTGACGCCAGCAAACTACCCGAAGAAGAAAGTGGCCATAAAAGAGGACCAGAAGGGAGGGAAGCGCAGAACCCTGCTCCCCTCCCCCGCCCACAGAGGCGGCACTCTCCCACCGCAGAGAGGAGGAAAACAACAAACCAAAACGACCAACAAGAAGAAACTACGCAGCAAGCGGGACTGGGAGTGGAAAGGAACTATTGAAGCCACCACACCCCGTAAACGGGAGCTGTGGAGAACCCTGCAGGATCCGCCACGGAGGTGAGCTCCGGGCGCCATTAAAGAGAGACCCCGCCCCCAGGAGGAGACCAGCACGAGCACACAGCCCCAGGCCTCCTGGTAAGCCAGCACGGAAAAGCGGCGCGCTGGAAAAGCAGGCGCGGAGCGCGGTCAGGATTGCGCGGAAAAGCGGCGCACTGGAAAACCAAGTGTGGATCGGAATCGGGATCGCGCGTGGAAAAGCAGTGCAGTTGAAAAGCAAACGCGGATCCAGATTGCAGCTGCCCAGGTCCCTGCACCTGCGACCTAGACTTGCGGGGAGACGCGCGGAGGCCCTCACTGAGTGAGCAGGAATCAGGCGCCCAGGCACGGGAGCGGGATTCAAAAGGCGCCATTCCCGCGCCACTGAACTGGGCTACAGCCTGAGTCCTGGAACTGAGGGCTTTGGAACTGACACCCGGGACACGAAATTAGGGGCGTGGGTTCCCCACGACGGTGGGGCACAAGGCAGACACAGCACCCCAAAGCCGTTGAGGTTTACCCTACAATTCCCACTCTATTCCCTGTCCCACGGGGTGGAAAATCAGCTCCCCAAGGGCTCCAGGAGAGATCTCTGGCACCACCTAGCGACTTGAAGCCAGCAGAGGCGCCTAGAGGAGCCAGTGGCCAGCTGGGGAGTTAGCCCACGCCGGGACCCTTCCGACCAGTAGTCTGAGCCCACAAGGGGAGCGAGCACCCACAGCCGGGGCAGACCAGGCGCGCAGAAGAGTGTGCCTGAGACCGGACGTGCAGGGAGTGTGTCCCACATCACCATCTTAGAACAGGGACATTTCTTCAGTAAAGACTACCTGCAGAAGGCTTCCTCAGGAGCCAGAGGTGAGCGGGGGAAGTTCGCCCACGCCAGACCCCATCTGGCCTGCAGTCCAAGCCCAGAGGGGGAGCAGGAACCCACCGCTGGGGCAGACCAGGCGCACAAGGGAGTGTGTCCCCACATCGGCATTTTAGAACAGGGACCTTTCTCCAGTAAAGATTGCTTGAAACTGACAGATGACTCCTGGAGGAACCAGAGGAGAGCAGAGAAGCTCACCCAAGATGCCGACAAGTCCCAACTACACAGTGTCCCAACGCATACGGCAAATTAGAAAACAGACAGTAGGGA